CTTGGAGGGCTTCTCCCATTTGTCCGGCATTCCGGGCAGGTGGGAAAAGCAGCGCAGGGTGGGGTGGGGGCTCTCCAGAAGGTCTGGCTACTCGGGTGGGAGGGTGGCGGCGAAATCGGGGCTGCGGCGGCCGGCTCATCGCCACCACCACAGCCCTTGAACTGCTCCCCCAAAGGCCTGTGTAGTCGGGCGGGTGTGGTGCGCCGAAATTGTGCCTGCGGCAGGCGGCCCATCGCCGCCGCTGCAGCCCTTTAAGTGCTCCCCCAAAGGCCTGCTTAGTCGGGGGGCATCACTGCCAATGCCGCTCTTCAACTGCTCCCCCCAAAGGCCCACGCCATGGCCCCGTCGGCTCCACTCACCCACCAGGTGGTTGTTAGCAATAGTCTGACTTCTGAGGGGACCGAACGCAGAGGTAGGGCTACAGCCTTCGTGTTCTGAGGGGAAGCTGGGGAAGCTTCTGAGGGACTGTTCAAGCATCCAAACACTGTTGGTGCGCATTCAAACATTGGATGCGACTACAGCTTTATATATAAGGGGACAGATTAGTAAATAGTATATTCTATAGAGGGTAGAAATGTTTCACTAAAGGTTATTCTTCTATAGCTTATTACCTGTCTGTTGGTCACAGACCTTCACATAAAGATTACCTTATCTATTCTGGTGTACCACATTACTTACGTTTCAACCCAGAGTCTCATTAGCCCAGGTACAAGGCAACTGCCCAGGTACAAGGCAACCCAGAGTCTCATTAGCCCAGGTACAAAGCAACTGCAACCCACTGGGCAGACCTAGGATTACCCTTTGGAATTAGGACTCAGTAAGGGCATTAGGGTCTAGTTTCTTTAGCAAAGCTAAATTAAATGGAGTTTTTTGTGCCCACCACAGATGAAAACAGGGACACACGCCGAAGACCTCCTTCTTACCACCATCTCACATTGCCAAAGCTTCTGTACCTGCTCTGTGCTGCATTCCTTTGCAACAGCCTTTCAGCAGCAGTTGGGGTTTTTGTTCCTTTTGTCTACCCTCCCCTTTCTACTATATTGGTAAACCTGTTCTCCAGCGAACAGGTCTACCCACCCCATTCCACTATATTGGTAAACCTATCATCCAGCAAACAGGTCATAGAATCATAGAATGTTAGAGTTGGAAGAGATCTTGCAGGTCATCTACTCCAACCCTCTACACTCTGCAGGAGCATAGCTGAAAGCTATTACTGGGCTCTACCCACCCCAGGCCACTATGTTGGTAGACCTGGCCTCTGGAGAACAGAGCTACCCTCCCCTTTCCACTATATTGGTAGACCTGGCCTCTGGAGGACAGGTTTACCCTCCTCTTTCCATTATATTGGTAAACCTGTCCTCCAGTAAACAGGTCTACCCACCCCTTGCTACTATATTGGTAAATCTGGCCTCTGAAGAACAGGTCTACCCACCCCAGGTCACTGTATTGGTAGACCTGGCCTCTGGAGAACAAGTCTACCCACCCCTTTTCACTATATTAGTAAACCTGTCCTCCAGCGGTCTACCCATCCCTTTCTACTATATTGGTAAATCTGGCCTCTGAAGAACAGGTCTACCCACCCCAGGCCACTATATTGGTAGACCAGGCCTCTGGAGAACAAGTCTACCCACCCCTTTCCACCACCGAAGAAGAGAAGAAGAAGAAAAGAAATTGGATTTATACCCTGCCCTTCACTACCCAAAGGAGTCTCAGAGCAGCTTACAATCCCTTCCCCTTCCCCTCCCCACAACAGATACCCTGTGAGGTAGGTGGGGTTGAGAGAGCTCTCTTGAGAATTGCCCTTGAGAGAACAGCTCTGAAAGAACTTATGACTGACCCAAGGTCACACCAGCAGCTGCATGTGGAGGAGTGGGGAATCAAACCTGCTTCTCCCAGATTAGAGTCCGTCC